GAAAGTCTGCCCATGATCGGATTCCTTGATCTGAACAAGGTCACCAGAAAACACGGCGTTCCGAATAAACGTGGGCACAAAACTTTCACTAAGAGGTTGCCCTAAGCAAGACTCAATGGAAGCAAAAACGACATGGAAAGCTGAATCCAAGAAAGCGGGATGTACTAAGCAGCGATCTGCAGATGAGGCGACTAAGGGAGAGGGATCGAACTCCAATGTGCCAACTGACACTCCTGGGCCGCTGTCGATATCTCCTTTGAGCAACCGAAAGTCATCTCCGTACTGGAGGCCGATGGATTGTAGTTGCTTATAATATAGCGAAGCCGGCTTACGCCTATCGGTCGCATTGTTGATCTTGGCTCTCTCGCCCCTGGAAAGGACCCCGGTGCGACTTTCAGACCCCAAACCCGCTCGGATCTGGCCGCGGCAATGCTCAACAAGACGATCTCCATCACCATACGAGGATACGCAAAACAAATACCACGTACTCGAAGTGCTCTTCGCCGATACCGTCAAAGGTTGGATCTCCAGCAGAACCTCAGTGCCGGCGTCGTTGGATGTAAGAACAAGTGCATTCTTGAATACAACGTCTCGTATTTGAAAGCCCGTGGTTGAATCTGTGATGGTAGAGACGGCCTCAAGCGCCATGGAGATGTATCCAGCAGCAGGGAAGATGACCTTTCCCTGTATGCAGTGGCCATTCAGCCAAGGGATCTCGGATAGACGGAGGTAGTTTCTCCATATCGGTCTCTGGTTCTGGCTACCTGGTACTACGGCCCCAAGAAGTGTGTGACGCGAGTTTCCAAGCCGGTGTTGGCGAATGGGCCGTGTTTCTGCCCAGTGAGACCCATGATCCCATCCGTAACTTGGAAGGCCGCGTAACAATGTGCCTGGAGTATGCTTGGCAACGTCTCCTGTAGTCGAATCAAGCCAAAAGTTACTATTCACTGCTTCCAAGTCCACATTGTACCCATAGCTGAACAGCTCTCCAGCACAAGCAATCAGGCTTTCAAAAGCTGGGGCATCTCGTGTCAGCGATGCGACATAAGGCAGGGAAAACCCAAGAGCCTTTGCAACATCTCTTGAAGGTCCTTTGAGAGCGGGGTGTGCTCCGATTTCGACCAATATATCAACATCTTGCTCCTCGTTCTCGTCAATTAGCATGCCGGTGAGAGCATCAGCAAATCGTACGACTCCAGTCATGTTTGCTGCCCAGTAACTTGCATCCATCTTGCGAGCTGACGAGTCTCGGGCTGTGACACTTGATACCATTCGGAGCGATGCATCCGAAGGCCTGAAGTTCGGAATCCTAGAAAGTGCAGCCTCAAACCCGGGGGCCAAGGGGGCCATGTGATGTGAATGAAAGGCCTGCTCAACTCTCAAGCGGCGGTTAAACACACCGCGCGAGTCCAGTTCTGATTTCAACTCCAATACGGCATCTACATCCCCAGAGAGTGTGAGGCTCGTAGGGCTGTTCACAGCTGCAAGAGCAACTCGTCCCTTGAACGGTTGCAGAGCTGATAACCCTTCCTGCTGGGTCATTCCCACCGCGAGCATTGCCCCTCGCTCGGATGTACCGTAAGACATGTACAAGCCTCGGTAGTATGCACAAATTATAGTACTTCGGAAGGAAAGAATACCTGCAGCATATGCCGCCACGATCTCGCCTGATGAATGTCCCACAACAGCACGTGGTATGATACCCCATGCTCGAAGGACCTCGATGATTCCCAGCTGGAGGGCAGCACAGAGTGGTTGTGAGATGAGACTCTCGCCGAGTCTTGTGTCTTCTTTCGACTTTGTCAGCTCCCAAATACAGGTCCAGTCTGGGCGGTCAGGCAGCTCGGATAAGATCTGATCACAGCGCTCAATGGTCTGCCTGAATAAGGGTAGCTTCTGTAAAAGCTCTCTGCCCATGGCATGCCATTGGGCGCCTTGTCCTGTAAAAACGAATCCCAGTCGAGGCGACTTGCCCACAGGAGAGTTCCATGTGGTGATATTATCCAAGCCATGAATGAGCGCTTCTGTATTGGATCCAATGACAAAGGATCGCAACTGGAGCCTGGACCGCCTGAAGCTGTAGCTGAATGCAATGTCGGGGACCGAGATAGGAGACCCGGACTTGATACTAAGGTACTCGCGAATATGGGCAACATTCTTGGTGGCAGCACGTTTATTATGCGCAGAGAGAGGGAGAATGTAGGGACGCACTTTTGCGTCTTCATCTAGGTGACCAACAGGATCGTATGTCGGCAATATTGAGGCCATTGACCGACCCGATGAGTAATTTTCAATAACAGCGTGTGAGTTGGAGCCTCCATAGCCAAAGGAGTTGATAGAAGCTCGCCTTATTGGCTTGTCATGCGGCCAGTCCGTGACCTCGGTTGGAACCTTGATTTTCAGCAATTTGAAGTCGATATCGGGGTTGGGTGTTTCGAAATGCATATTGGGCAGAATCTTTCCTGTAGACACTGACATCACAGCTTTGACGACACCTGCAAGTCCAGAGGCTCCCTCCAAGTGACCCAAGTTCGATTTAATGGAGCCGACATATAAAGGCGTATCTCTGGTGGAAGAAAACACGGATCCAATCGCATGAGCTTCAATAGGATCACCAGCTTTTGTGCCCGTCCCATGAGCCTCGACATAGTCGGTATCAGCCAGTTCAAGATAAGAATCTTTGTATATCTGACGTATGAGCCTGGCCTGGGCTGCCCCGTTTGGAAGGGTGAGCCCAGCTTTGGAACCGTCGTGGTTTGAGCCAGTCCCTCGGACAATGGCCTTGATAGGGTCGCCGGCGGCTTCTGCGCTGCTTTGGCGTTTCAGCACAAGTGCACAGACTCCTTCGCCACGGACGTAACCAGATCCATTCTTATCGAATGTGCGGCATCGACCGTCAGTAGAAAGCATTCCGAAATCAGTCATGGTGATGTAAATGTTGGGATCAAAGTGTAACGCAGAGCCGGCAACGATGGCGATATCAGACTCTCCTTCGGCAACAGATCGGTTTCCTAGATGAAAGCAGACAAGAGACGACGAGCAGGCAGTATCTATTGTCATACTCGGGCCGTGAAGGTCGTAAAAGTAGGAGATCCGATTAGAAAGGACGGCATTTCCAGTGCCTGTAACAGTATACTTGGGATACGTCACAAGGTCCTTGGTCGTCATAGAGTTGTAGTCATTTGTAAAGGATCCAACGTACACTGAAGTACGAGAACCCTTGATAGATTCGAGAGGAATTCCAGCTTAGATGCAAGTTAGTGATCGGCTTGTGTACCATTCAGTTGTGAGCCATACCATCTTCCAGCGCCTCGTACACTACTTCAAGTAGCAACCGCTGCTGAGGGTCCATTGATTCAGCCTCCTGCTTAGAAATGTGAAAGAACTCATTATCAAATTGAGACAAAGGCTCGTCCAGAAAGTACCCATATCGAGCATTTGTCTAATGTTGACAAAGAAATAATCAGTGTTTCGTCAAATTGATTAATGCTTTGAATTCTTACCGTTCCCTTGTTTGTGCCCAGTGGATGGTAAAAGGCATCAACATTGAACCGGTCCTTCGGAATCTTTTGTTGTAGATCCTTACGAGTGACGACGTTATCCCATAACTGAGGCAGGCTTTTGGCGCCGGGAAAGCGAAACGCCAACCCAGTAATGACAGTGGGATCGGTAGAGGGGCCTAGACTCTGACTACCATCCGGTCCGATGGAGGTAGCGGACGACTGTGGGCGGGAGGGACTGCTCCCGTTGCCCTTGTCTGAAGAGGGAACAGAGCTGAGTAATGTAGACATTGCCTACGTGACTCGGATTGAAAAATATAAACAGCTCGTGATTTTCTCGCTCTATTGCTCCCCCTTTTCAAGGTGTGATAGCCACTGAAGTGATAGGAGGCAGAGATCGAATTTTATAAACGTAGCTAGGAGAAGACTGAAGAGCCTGAGCCGGATGATGTCTTTTTAGTTTAAGGGGGAAATATGTACAAGTTGTCTACGAATACAATAATTAATCAAGGATTAAATAGAGAATGACCTGAGAGAAGCCCCCGGCCGACTTCGCTTAGCCGTACCGTCCATCACGATTCAATATCCTCGGCAATTCCTGAACCAAAAGCCCGATCAACGTGTAAATCAATGCAGAAGGTAAAACTGTAGATCTCAACAAAGGATCCCTCTTCTCCAGCGTGAAATGAGGGATATTCGCTGCAGTTGTCGCCATCAACCGTATCACGTATGACCGGGGAGGGTCAAATTGTGCGATCCATACGTCTATGCTCTCACGAGGAAAGTAACAATATTGCATGCAGGAACTGGATTGGGAGTTGCCTACAGGTTGGCTGCTGAGTCGTATAGATCATCAAGTTCCTATGCATCGTTATGTGCATTTCGGCAAAGCAATAGAATCTATTTCACAGAGCTGAGCCAGATCTTGTAACTATCACCGGTGTGGTTACGTAAATTTTTACTACCGGCCGACGAAGTGAATTTATTCCTATATCCAGAATAAACAATAAGTGAATAAGCGAGATGAATATGTCACTGAAGGTACCTCGGTCTACAAGAATTACTCGATGAAGAATGCCATGCAGCCAGGGTTGCCCTAGGAGTGGAGTTGGACACGAGGGTATGCAGGAGTAGGGGAGGATCCGTTACATTCGACCTTGTTGACCGTCTGGCATATTGAGCATCATCTTTGTCACATCATATCTCGTAACAATGTCGCATTCACGGAAGTGATAGGCTCCAGCTGAGGAAAATCAATTCATGCTTCTCCAAGGTGGATCGAGCCCGGCATCGGTGATCATATTGGATCCTACATACCTTAAGCGCAGACGTCATAAGCGGCATGATTCCGCACGATGAAGCAGTTCGAGCGTTCGAAAAGGGGTGAGGGGCAGTTCCTTCATCAAAGACTGAGATCCGGTATACGCACATCACTGATTGCAACTCAAGTAAGCTCTACTGTGCAGTCTCCCCTTTCCTCGCCAGCCGCAAAGTTCAATCATGGCCTTCTACCAAGCCGCCATTCCTCCTCTACCGGAGTCTCTCCGCCTCGATGGCCAAACTGCTGTTCTCACGGGAGCTACGGCTGGGATAGGCCTCGAGCTTTCTCTCCAGCTCCTGTCTCGTGGCCTCAGGCACCTTATTGTTGGCGTTCGTGACGTCCAAAAAGGGGGTGTCACCCGCCTTGATCTTCTCTCCAACCCAAAGGTTGTGAAGAATAACCCCAATGCCCAAATTACAGTGCTCAAGCTCGACCTCTCAAGCCTAGAAAGCGTTGCAAAGTTTTCCAATGAAGTTTTGACCATCACTTCACGCCTTGACTGCCTTATTTTGTGCGCTGGAATCAACACTGCGCACTTCGAACAGACTAGCGACGGAAATGAGCGGTATGCAATGCGGCTCTATTTTCGTTTCTATCATGAAATTGTTGCAGAACTGACTGATACCTCTCAGGTGTTTTCAAGTCAATGTTTTATCAAACTTCTTGATCCAGATGCTTCTTCTGCCATTAGTGCAATCGACTGCTCGGGAGTATTATGATGCTTCATCCCCACAACAGCCTCCCACTATCACATGGGTTGGGTCCATGGGACAAGCTTTTCATACTCCCGCTCTAGGGAGCGACAATGGGGATCAAGGTACCATTCTTCAGGCCTATGCGTCTAAAGAACGTTATTCTGGTATCAGAAGATACCCAGATACCAAGCTTTTCGTGTCCATGATTAGCCAGGAGTTGGCCTCCCGCATCCCAGAAAATGAAGTCATTGTTGACAACGTGTGCCCTGGAACAGTGAAGACAGGGGCGGATAATAATCTTCCATTCTACCTACGAATCCCAATGAACTTCAATCGTTTTCTGAGAGGTCGTAGTGTGGAAGATGGTGCTCGCGCAGTTTTCTGGGCAGCGAGAGGCGGCCTTCACAAAGACCAGCCCAACGGCTTCTATGTCGCGGACAACCATCCTCAAGAGTTAGTTCTACCTCAAATTGAAGACTGTCTATTGATTTATTTACTAATAAGAAAAATTGATTTAGGCCCTCTGTTTATATCAATACGCCAGAGGGACAGAAGTTTGCTAAAAAGCTATGGGATGAGCTCATCCTAGAGGGCAGAAAATGGGATACTAAAGTAGGCAACGGATTGGTAGCATAATTAAATAGCAGTTTTATACACTCTTTAGGTCATTTGAAGTTCAATCATCGATCATCGAGCCGTCTGAAGTTACTATCATGGTTACTTGTGAGGAAGGCAGGTGCCAAGTTCTCCAAGTGCCTCTGCGCCTCATCATTTCAAAGCAAAGCAGCGAAGGTTGTTATGGAAAATAATGGATATTAGTCGGATGAATGAAGACTTCACAAATGGACTGTAATTAGAGTGACATGCCCATTAACTACGGGAGATGAGGAGAGAGGTCCAAAGAAACATGAACTAAGTAGAAATCTTACGAGGATCAATTGAAACTCCAACAATTTCTTTTATTTATCACCTGAACTCAATCTACCCACTACCTGTATAGCCACTACGTTTCTGTCACATCGATAGCTTTAACCGCAACGGTAAAGCACAACCCCTTTGGAAGCCCCTTTGGGCGTCGATCGTATAGCCTGTCACCAAGCGAGATCGGACTATCTAATTTATTCATCACTCCCCTCTTGGTGAATGCCTTGTTCAGTTTCGTGTTCCCTGTCGAGACTGATATGCTTGACAAAGAAGCTCCCAATCATGGCTGCTCCACTGAGCGCACACATAACGGCCCACACAATCTTCAAGGAATCTGCATAAGCCTGTACCAGCTCCTTCTTCTTCATATCATCAGGCATGTCGTGGAGAAATGATACAATCGAGCTGGCGTCTCGGCTATACTCAACCGCCTTGTCAGCCAAGGTCGTAGTGGCGAGCAGGTTGGATCTCATTTGGTTCTGGAATATGAGTCCAGAAAGGGCTACGCCCAATGCCTGACCCAGCATTCGTGAGAAAATGAACATGGATATAGCATGTGACATGAGCTTGTCCGGCGCTGCAGCCTGATTGATGATGGCCAGGGAGGTGTAGAGTAGCCCCTGGCCGATTCCCATGAAGATGGTCAGGAAGAACCATTCGGCAATAGTGGTATCTACATCCAACAATGTCATGACCCCCAGTCCAATAGTGCTCAGGATCCAGCCAAACCAAGTGACCCAGCGATACTCACCACGCTTGGATATAACTGTCCCCGCTACCATTGACATGGGTGCCAGAGTGAATGTGGCGGGGAATAGAGCAACGCCGGAGATGATGGGGCTATAGCCCTGAACAGCCTCGAAGTACAAGGGGAGGAAGTACAGCGAGCCGTAGACAATGGCAGCGTTGATGATACCCGACAACAAGCTGTAGAGCATCTCGTAGCTCCTCAGAAGACTCATCGTTATAATTGGCTCTTTTGGGACGTATGATTCATAAATGCCGAACGCGAACAATACGGCAATGCCAAGCAACAAAGGGAAAAGCGTCTGCCATTGATCCCACTCATACTGGACACCACCCCAAGTCAATGGCATAAGCGTGCAGGTGGCGGCGCCAACGAAGACAAGGCTCCCAAGCCAATCGAACTGCCTCAGCTTATCAATGACAGACCCCGGTGGTTTCGAAAGACGCAAGAATATGGGGATCAAGACCAGGACAATCGCGGCAAACGGAATAAGCATCCAGAAGATGCCCCTCCAACTCGCCTCATAGGCAAGGGCGCCGCCGATAACGGGGCCGCACACACTCCCAAACGCCCAGACGCCCCCTACTATTCCAAAGTACTTTCCGCGTTGTCTCATTGGCACAAGATCGGTGACGACGATGTCGTTGAGCAGGATGATGCCACCGCCACCCACCCCCTGAATGACGCGACCGGCGAAGACTGTGCCGAAGTCCTTGGCAACGGAGGCGACGATGACGCCGATCAGGAAGAGGAAAGAACATGCAACGAGTACTGGCATACGGCCAAATATGCCTGACCACGACGCTGTCGGCAGCTGAAGTACTGCCGAGCTGAGAAGGAAGCTTGTACCGGTCCAGAACGCCTCGATCGCCGTGCCCCCAAGATCATTTGCCATAATCTGCAATGCCCGAAGTTAGCGAGGATGAATCGTCATCGATAGTTGCAGGAAATATTTGCATATATCGAGGCGCTTACAGGTAAAGCTACCGTCACGGCAGTTCCGTCTAGCGACACCATTGCTGCAAGAACAAGGATGGGTGCCAAGGCCAGCCAAAATCTTCTATCTGGCTTGAATTCTGCACTCGGGTCGGCGGCCTCCGCTCCTCCGTCAGCGGCCTCAAGTTCGATATTGTTGGATATAGATCCAGAAGTAAGGTCGTCATTCTGACTCTTCTCTTGGGTTCGCTCAGCGCGATTAGAAGCCATGGTCTCAGGCATGATGTATAGCTTGACAGCCGATCTGAATTTCTCTCACGGTTCAATAGATCTTGGTGTCTATTCAATGAAGTAAATGTTCGGAAGTATGAAGTTACAGGAGCTAACTATCTTTCTCCCTTTTCGCAGCCGGGTTAATGTAGACGCTGGATACGGCGATTCAATTCCTCACCAACAAAGCTAAGCTAGGAGTAGATTTCTAATCCATAGCCCCTGCTATTTCATCTAATTCGTCGAGTTGCATATTTTCTCTCATGACGTGGGAACATTTCTAATCAAATTAACTATCGAATGGCATCATATCAACCGAATCTTGCAACAGCCACTCAGGGATCCTTGTCAAACTCTTCCAAAGGATCTGCAAGCATGAATAATGAGACAGCGGAATGAACAAGTCATAATGCAACCAAATGAAACCTCCATCAGGGTCACACCCAACAGATCCTATGTGAGCCGTACCAGGGGCCCCTGAGCCGATCACAATCCAAGTTTACGAATAACCTAATTTCAGGGCCCGGATGGCCGAAAGGTCTCCGTATATGCAGGGTCAGGGATACGGGATCGGAAGCATTCCGCTGCTGAGTTAGTAATTGTTGCTTTTGACCCTTGCATGCCGCGCCTCGATTATTGCAAATACTACCGTAGGCTCTGCAGTAAGTTACTTTGAGGTACCTGCTCCCAAAAGGCCCCCTGGGTGGGTTGCAGAGACGCATGGCATCGTTGTATGCGGCTTAACCCACAGTAAGCACGGGAAGACTGGACCGCTTCGCATCTACGCGATGCTCCTGGTCCCCGGAATTAGATCGTCATATCGCCCTAGGAAGCTAGCGCCCACCTTGCCGACAAGGCCGTTCAGGATGGGTGCAACGGTTGTAGTGTGGGCAACTGACAGTGTCCACAAGGTAGGCGAGTGACGTCTGAATTGTTTGAGACTCAATAATGTAAAAGGGAAAGGGGTCTAAATCTCCAACATTGCAAGCAGCAAGCCGGGCCCATTAGCCCTACAAAAAAAGTCTTCATTTCGCGTCAACTTAGCTCCTTCAAACATAACGCAATGGCATCTAGGCCTCTTCAAATTGCCATCATAGGGGCTGGTCCTGCAGGCTGCACACTCGCTCGCCTTCTTCAGGTCTCTGAGCAAGCCAGCGCCGTCAAGGTGACCATCTTTGAAAGAGAGGCCCAGCTTCATGATCGAGATCAAGGCGGAACGCTAGATCTCCACGACTCGACAGGCCTAGAGGCCTTGAGACGCGCTGAGCTCCTCCACACTGACGAGTTCCGGGCTATCGCTCGCCATGATGGCGATGCTATCGTTCTCTGTGACAAAAACATGCGCAGGTGGATCGACATTGCCAGCAGCTCGGACGGCGGATGGCTCGCCCAAGGCAAACCTGAAGTTGATCGGTTGCAGCTGCGCCAGTTGCTTCTGAATAGCTTGGTTGGAAACGTCGTGGTCTGGAATAAGCGAGTCAGTAAGGTTGAACTTGCTCCAGACACAAGTTCCACCTTGTATTTCGAGGACGGCTCGTCAAAGTCCGGATTCGACTTGGTCATCGGCGCAGATGGCGCCTACAGCATGGTTCGCCCCCTGATCACTCCTCAAAAGCCATTTTACAGCGGAGTTGGGGGTTGGAACATGCTCTGCCATAGAGCTGACATTCTTCGCCCGCTCATGAACAAGATGATCAATCGCGGTAGCCTGTTTGCATTCTCGGATGGCAAAGTCGTCATGGGTCAGCAATTGGGCACAGGCTCAATTTACATCAGTATGTGGGGTCTCAAACCCGAAAACTGGGTGTCAACTTCAGGCTACGACGTCAAAGACCCAAAACAAGTCAAGCAGGCTCTCCTAGAAGAATTCAAGGGCTGGGCCCCTGAGCTCCGAGAGTTGCTCGCGTCTTTTGATGAAACGCAAGTGTGGCCCCGTAGCCTTGTTATGCTACCAACAGGCCTCTCTTGGGACTCCAAGCCAGGACTCACAATAATGGGCGATGCTGCTCACGTCATGTGTCCTTTCGTTGGTGAAGGAGTGAATGCCGCTATGGCTGATGCTATGGAACTCGCTGATGCGATCAAGGATACAATTAAGAGCGGCTGGAGTAGGGAGCTACTTGCGCGAAATGTCGAAAAGTACGAACATGGAATGCGCAAGCGGACTCTCCGCGCTTCTTCCATGACGGAAGACATCATGAAGCTGATGCTTTTCACCCCAGGCGCCCCTACCACTACAATCGAACGGTATTTTGTTAGAGCAACAAGCGATGATCTTCCTTTCTTACTCCGGCCAGTTTGGAAATTTCTGGTCAATTTCTACTACTTTGCATTTAAAGCCTTTTTCAAGTAACTAGCATATATAATAAATATACGATTCCAATAATCTAGGGACTTCTTATACGTAAATACAATACATCTAAAGCACATGCTCTAAGTGAATGACAAAAGTTGCGTACAATTTGCTATATCATTCGCACAGACCAATCCCTCTACGTGTATTCACTTATTCAAAGTGTTCTCCAGGTGAATTCCCTCCAACCTGTTGATAGTCTTGAAGAAATTATCAACAATATTGAGGTTGCAGCAGAGGCGATCTCGATAATGGGCTGAAGATTGCACAATAATGGCCACGTGAGTCATCTAGATCTATTTCATTACTTGGTTGACATAGGCATCGAATGTCAGCCCACCGCTATCGGTAACTTGGAGACTCCGGTTAATGACTCACCGGTATGGATAATGTTGTATTCCATTCAACCGAATTCTTTCTTCCTCTGGCCGATGTTGATCACGATCCCTTCTTTATGTTTCCATCCAAGTGGATTATCATCTGATATGGCATTATTTATTCCCACTTAGGCTTAATGAGTTAACCCACCTCAGCCCCAATTTTCAGGGCGGCATGTTGAACCGAATCTTACGCTTGATGACCCCTGGCCACCGGGTATAGGTTGCATTGTGAGGCGAATGTACTATTGCGTGCTACCCGTGCCAGGGATCCCAGAGGCCTCGTTTACACACCCTAGATAAATGCATCTCCCTCGAGTATTCAATCTTCGGGTAGATGAATTGTATCAGTTTTGACATCTGCAACACATGGCAGTGCCTTTACTTCAATACCATAAATAATCCTGTGATTCGAACTATACCTACTATGCTTGCCGGTCCTCACCAACTGATCAAATGGTTTAACGACCATCATAAGACTTTCAGATTTCTTTTCAGTGATCTCATCCAGCCAAAGGCCATAGGTGATCGTCATGGCCCTCAAGACCATTTTCCAAGCCATTTATAGCCCACTGGGCTTCACAAAAGCATATGCCTTTACACTGTGTACGTTTCCAAAACCCGAGTCTATATGTGAAGACCTCGACACTAATGTCCACTATTGAGAGAAGGGTTCATCGTCAGTGGTGCACTTGTTGGGTTTATCCTAGCGCGCCTACAATTTCTTGACATTGATGGCCGTCTATGTCCAGCCGTGCCGGCCAACGATGGTTCCTCAGGCTTTCCAGCAGCGTGCTACTGGATTGTTCATTTCAGGCGGTACCGTGTAGCCATGATTCTTCACCTGGCCACCTCACTGCCTGCAGGTCTCATTGCTGTTTTCCAATTCTTGCCTGCAATAAGACACAAGTGCATCTTGTACCATCGCATCGCAGGCTACATTGCCATCACACTGGGTTTCATTGGCAACATTGGTGCCTGCATGCTTGCAGACACGGCCATGGGCGGGGAGTTCTCTATGCAGACTTTGATCGGATTCGTGGCATTTGTCACAACCCTCACCCTTGCCATGGCGGTGTACAACATCAAAAAGCTCCAGCTTGACGGCCACCGCGCATGGATGATTCGGTCCTGGGTCTACATGGGATTTGTGGTGACACTCCGAATCATCCAGCCAACCATGGCCAATATCGTCACAAAATGGCCATCGGCGGCAAAGTATGTAGCAGTGTCGTGCAAGGAACTACACTACATATACTTTGCTGGCCAAAAGCTAGGACAAGGCACATATACGCAAGACAGCCTGGACAAGTTCAAGGCGGACTACCCCCCTTGCGCGGAACATCCTCTAGCTGAGAAAATTTATGTTGCGGTACAGGGCGTCCTGTCACCTGACGACCCAGGAAAAGTCAATGTGGCTCTCATGTCGACGTTTGCTGCTTCCGGTGTTTTCGCATTCCTGCTTCACGCGGTTTGCGCCGAGATATATATTTGGCTTACACCGGCGGAGAACGCGCGGCTACGTGAGGTAAGTTATCAAAGGCAGCTTAGGAGGGGGTTCCCCAACCCAGGCAGTGAAGGCCTTGTGGCCCAAAGATTTGGTGATGCGCGAGAATGGGTACCGGATGCATCGTCAGAGTCTCCTGAAACCCAGTCCAATGAAGGGAAAGCGCAGTCATAGAAAAGAACAATCATTCTTGTGACTTTGTTGTTTTTTGTCTTTTGGGTAAATCGAGAGGAAGTCCGAGCTCGGCGGGCTATCGCATAGCCAGGGGGGGTGGAGGAGATGCTAATATACTGGTTTTGAGAAAGGAAAAGGGATGGTATAAATTCTCTAACGAGTCTAAATACGCTCTTTTGGTAGCATCAGTCAATGAAGCAACAATAGTCAGGCTCTCTAAAACTCTGAACAGTGTTCGTAGAATCAAAGATGATATGCTCTAGGCTTTTATGTAGCATTGTAAACGGCGATGCCCCACTAGAAAAATCCTGGATAAATCCCACTATTTATTTTCTTGAGGCCTCCATAGTTCACCATCCTTTTTGCACATCCCCTCCCACTGACGGCGCAGAATTTGGCCAGATGAACCAGTTTACTACGATGCCCACGACAGAATCCATGATTCCAAGACGTCTCTAGGAAGCTCCCACCATATTGGTGAAAAACAACGAGGCAGCTAGCGATTTCCGGCAGATAATATATACCCCATCCTCCACAGCCTCAAGCACTAGTGAGGCTACCTTTTCCGACGAGTGATACCGTTTTTCCAAGTCCTCGATGGATCCTTCTAGCACTTGTATGGATTTAGTAAGAGAATTCTTGGTGTTTTGTTGGGTTTTCACGATGAACAAGGAGCACATTATGAACGAATTTAGCAGAAATAGGAAATAAAGAGGATCAACATATGGGAAGAAGTAATTTACGAAGCTATAGATCATTGTACAAGTTGACACCACGCCAGGACGTAAAAGTCTTAAAATTTTTGATGAAGATAGTATTCTATATTATAGAAGAGTTTAAATGAATAAACTTGGAAGAGAATATATGTATATGTAAAAAGTAAAATATAAACAAGAAGAAGAAGAAGATAATACGGCAGGGTATCCCTTATTTGAATTTATTTTTGTCAACTTCAGTTAAGCAAGTTGACTGGCAGCAAAGATAGCAGTCAGGACAACAAACAGTCCTGTGCCTGCCACATGGGATGCGCCACTGGGAATGACAGATGAGGAAACAGAGCCCTGGGTTGCGGAGGCTGAACCGCTCACCCCCGAGGTGCCCGAATTGGTGGGCGTGATGCTGCCGGTAGAGGTCACGAATCCGCTCCTAGTTGAGCTGTCGGAAGCATCACTGCTTGCAGAATCGGTCTGGCTCGAGGTTCCACTCGCATTGCTCGATGTTGCTGTCACGCTACTGGAGGCGGAGGTAGCGGTAGTGCTTGAGCCAATGGAATCCGGCTTGCTCATGGAGGCGCCAGGGCATTTGGTAATACACTCGTAGGCCGATTTGTATAGGCTCTTGTAGGCCTCTTTGTCTTGAGACTGCTGGTTCTTCTTGAGGTCGTCAAAATACTGGTCGTCGCATTTGCGGGCACATGCGTACGAAGAGCACGGGGCAGTATCGCCGTCAAGGAAACTGAGACCTCCCTTCTCCGCCTTGCCCCAGCTACCGGTGGCACCCTCCAGGGAGAATTGGTCGCTGTACTTGTAGCCAGAAGAGCCGCTGTTCTTGTCCTTGTTTTGCTTGAGCTCCAGGGTGGTGATGGCGAACGTGGCATCGCTAGGGAATAGGTCGGCGGGGATGTTGACCTTGACGGAAGTGGTGTCGATCTTGTTTCCCTTCGAGAGCAAGCAGGTAGGCATCAACCCTGAAGAGCTAGGTGGTGCGGTCGCCAGGTAGACATTGAAGTTGGAGTAGGCGGCATCGACCGAGCTTGAGCCGTTGCTGAGGTCGTTGGTGATCTGGACCTCGAAGTCGGTGTTGGCCTTGATGTTGGAGGGGACGCTGATTTTCTCAAATGCCAATGCCGGAACGGCAGCGGCGAGAACAACGAGGGCGGTAGATGCGTACATAATGAAGATTGGCAAATGGAAGAAAAATTTGAAAACGTTGGAAAAATGAAGAAAGGGGGTATTCTCTGAAGATGAAGTATAGAAAAAAAGACTTTATGAACGGAAAAAAGAAGTCAGTCAAAATTGACAGAAGAATTGAAGTATACGAAGTCTGAAAAAAAAGCCGCGATGGGCGTTGAAGAAGTGAAAAGAAAGGAAATAAGGAAAAGACGAATAAGGAAAAGAGAAGTTCTCACTGAGAGTGGTGAGGAATAAACTTACACTTGATGTGAAGGCAGCGTGGCATTATATAAGATACATTTCCGCGACGATTCCATTCACTCAATGGTGCTGTTTATTCTGAGAACACATTCGGGAACTAACAATAGCATCTTGTAGCTTAATTTCCTGCCAGTCACGGACACCGGGAGCCCTGGCTCGCTCCATTCAGGTGCCGACCTACTTTTTGCGGTGGTTGATGCTAATTTTAGATAGGATCGGTTCCTACGGACATTTTAATTCGCGCTCCGTGCCCGAGAGAACATGTTCTGTCTGCGTCACGTGAGACAGGTAGCCGTCTCCAGACTTGAACGATGTGTTCAGGCATGGTCCGACTTACTCGTCTCGGGATAGACATCTTAAAAACTCGCGACTGACAGAGCGTGCGGCGATCTCAGATTTGCGAGGATAAATTTGTCGTGATGTAGGTACATGTAGCTGAAATCCGCGTAAATAGTCAACTCAAGTTTGGCACGAAATGTCGCTACCCTATAGCATGGATTCATTCGCCCAAGTCCTAAGATTGATAGCACATCCAGCTCTGGTAGTTTATAGTTAGCTTTATAGATAGTTTTCTTATTTGTAAGAAGTTATTTAAAAATACTTTTGTTTGAATAACTTAGAACTTAGTTGGGTTGAGATAGAAAGCCGAGGCTACATAGATTGATGCAGTCCATGGTTACCTATACCCTTGCTCTTTCAAAATCTCACATTTGCGCTTCCCCCTGAAATAACAAACTTTAGTAATCAAAGTGTGCAAATTAAAGAAAGCTGTGCAAAGAAACAAAGAAACTAGAAAATAATCATTTGCCTTAGATTGGCTCTTGCTTCTTGATTTGCTTCTTGATTTGCTTCTTGTCTGCCTCTTCTCCAATTATAAATTGGCTCTTGGAAGCGTTCCAAATTGCTCCATTCGTCGCGTTCCATGTTTGTTTATTTTACGCGTGTTGGGCCCACTTATCAACGCGTTCTCATTTGCCAATCCCTTTTGGCCTTTGGCACTGACCATCAATATCATTTGAATAGCTTTGCCATGATAGCTGACCTCTTCTGTCCTTACCCTCAATGAACTTGACCCAGTCGATACCATCTTCGAGACGAGCCGCTAGCCTCACGAACACAGCGAGGCGGCCGCGCGGTACGAACAGCTCGCCTGGCTCCTGTGGACGTCTCAGCGGCTGGGTTACAGAGGGTCGTTGCGGCATCCCTTGCGGCTGGCTTTAACTTCTGCAGCTCCGGCTGATACTCATCCGTAGACTTGCGCAGATTCTAGTCCTGCCGCTGCACAAGCGCCGATAGTTGATTGCTAAAAAGACAGTACCCGAAGAGAGGGCAGTATGGTAGGAATGGGATCCTTGTGCCAGTCTACCCCCATCCTCGCTTGTTTAGGTATCATATAAAGAATATTCTGAAGGATTGCTTCAAGCCTTAGATTGATCATAATATTAAAAACATAGTAGCTTGGAATAATCCGGCATAGAGTAGCAACAATGATACTGACTGGGTGCCTGCAGAACTGTTGTTTTTTGAATAGCAGAGGTAGCGGCTCGGTAACCTGTCCTTAATTTCGTCAAATATTTTGCAATCCAACTTCCCCGAGTGGTCACTAATTTCAAAGGACCCGGTGACATGGGTATTGCCTTTGATGAAGGATGAGCTGTTATCTACGTTGCCAATGCCCGAACAACTAAGTAAACAAGCAAAAACTTACAAAAAGTCCGTAGTTATGTTTGCAGCGAGAAACAAGCTATATATCTCTTCCTTGGGCCAATGCCAAATGGTGTTACCATCCAGATCTTGGGTCGTATTCATCAAAAGCCCAGGTGTATAAACCGAGAGACTGACATTTTTCCAGTTCTCTGCCGCAACTGGGAGCCGCACTGATTCCAATTTCCCTCCGCTAATAAACACATTGTCGACGAGATCAACTGGGACCTCCAACGATGAAAGGTCACCACATTGACACCAAAAGCTTTCAGCGGTAAAGTTTGTCATTTCTGGCCCACGCGCGACTTTGGTGACACCCTCACTAATGAAGATTTCTCGAGCCTCAAGTTTCTCCGAGGATGATGCTCCGAAAGTGACAGCCAAGTCCCCGCCGCGTACGCTCAGCTTATCTATCTCTGACCACCCAAAAGTAAATTGTCGCAGCTTATGTAGACTGATCCAGAGGTCCACTCTTTCATTCCAAGTAGGTCGGCGTTGGCGAGGGTCAATTGGACTCGCGAATAAGCTGTAGATGGACTTCAAATTCCCTAGATCCATAAGGTTGACATAGGGTGGCTTTGAGCCTGTGTAGTTCTTCAAGTCATTTTGTTTCCACTCTTCAAGCTTACTGACATCAAGAAATACACCGGTTAGTATTTCCAGGTTTGTAAAATCCACATGAGTCAGGTTTGGTAGTCCCTGCAAGTGAATTGTTGAGTTGATGGCCTTTAGATTCAGTAGATTGAGTGCCCCTAGGCCCCAAAAGTTCCACAAGTATATACCGTCGCCGAGGAAACTCAGCGTAGAGCTGGTTATGTTGAACACTTCATCGCTCGCGCCAAGACAACTGGGCCCATCGAACTTGGGGTCGCAACCTGCGTGGTAAAGTACTCCCATGAACCTCTTCCAATCCATCAAGGTTGATAGTCTCCGTAATGTTGCTGGTAAAAGATAAGTCACCTCGGAGTATCTTGCAATTCTCACGTAACTCTTTCGCATCGCCTGTAGAAGAAATGGTGGCATTACCGTTGCAGTCAAATGCAGCAAGCGGCTCAATCTCTGTTCATTTTAGCACATCAGAACTTACTAACCATCGAGGCGGACGGCTCACGTGCAGTCAGTGATCTAAGAAACAGCGGTCTCATGAAGCGACGTGCCATGGTGGAGCAGTGGTCGTTGATATATTCTCTTGCTCGATAATTTCACTGAAGAAAAGAGGCTAATGATGTGAGCAACGTATTAATACTTAAACCGGCCCTGCAGAACTTGGGTTACCTTGATATGCCCACAGAGTCACCTTGGCCACTTTTTTCCTGGATCCCTACTGGTCTTCTATCTGGATTACCTATTCACGCCGCAGGATACCACCGTCAAGGCCTCGATCGGACTATCATGAACAGTGTTATTTCTACATGCTTATCTTGGGTCAGGAGCTTCGTGTAGGGTCGCTGGAATGCCTCGAGAGCTCTTTCCTCATGGCAAATAGGGAAAGCCGCCTTGGTAGGTGTCCAAGAGCTTCCCAATGCTCCCAAGGAAACAGGAGAGCCCGAGGGGATATACACCGGAATGCGCATATGGACATAGATACTAAAGCCCTGGGATAATGTCTTATTTTCCGTGGCAGAATGCGATATCTTTCATTTTGCGGGTCACGGAAGATCGCATGCCCTTGATCCGACTGAAAGCTCGCTAGAAATGAGTGATATACCCCTCACAGTACAAGACCTCTTCAATATAAAACTCCATGACAAGGCCCCTTACTTAGCTTGCCTCTCCGTATGTAGCACAGGGCATGTGGAAGATACAGAGCTTTTCGACGAAAGCTTGCACCCGATTGGCGCGTGCCAGCTGGCAGGCTTTAGGATCGTGATAGGGACCCTGAGAAAAGCCAATGATGCAATTTGTGTCCAGGTGGCCAAGATGATATATGAATGTATTAAGAAGGGCAATCTGAGTGAATCTGTTGCGGAAGGCTTTCCCTGTGCCATTAGAACTCTTAGCGACCAGTGGATGGAGGACAAACAGGACGAAATGGATGAAAGAGGCAGGAAAAAGAGGAGGATAGGGGGCAGCGGGGAGAACAAACCGGTTTCTCAGCCAACAGGCGAAGGCGAATCAAGGGGGAACAGAGATATAGTTGCCTGTGAAGAGGGGCCAATGGAATGGGTTCCGTTTGTTTACTTTGGAATATAGTTCTTTGCTCCAGGCGATTTAAAAGTAAATGCTCCTCTTGGTACGCCCAAGGCCTCCTAGCAAAATCTAACATATCATGCTCGTGTGGGAAACTACAATGCAAACATACATAGCCTAGAGAGGAAAGACTTGGTAGTCAAAAATGTAGGATCTCTAGAATAAATTGATCATGATGGCGTGTATTGCAAATGCCGTAAAAGATACCAACATAAACCAATGATCTTAATGACCGGGCGGCAATAGTCATATATTGCCTCGCACATGCTGCATACGACGTGATCTATTATGATGACTTATCTCTATGCTGCCACTACTAGGCAACGTGTCCGAACTGTGGGGCACAGAAGCACTGCTCAAAAACATTGAAGCTCACCTATTCTAGCCATTCCCACTTTGCTTCCACGCATCATCCTCGTCCTCTTCATCACGAATCGCCATGTTACATCAACTCACCCCCGAGCTCATCGCGCTCATTCTTGACAATCTCATTGAGGGTCAACCTGGGGATCGCCCTGCTCCACGTCGGTTGAATTTGTCAAGCTATGCGACCATATCTCGCACCTGGCAATGGGCCGTCGAGGCGCGCACATTTGCCTACATACGCGCCCGCAACGACCCTGGTTACATTGATAAGTTCAGAGCTAATCTCGCAGGCCGGAGGCATCTCGTACGGGCCGTCAGTATCAAAATATTCCTGCCTACCGAAGGATGCTCGAGGCAGAATTACGCACAGGACCACGACGTCTTTGCCTCCACCATAGACATCTTCATGAACGAGCTCCACCAATGGGAGCGCGACGGAGATGGTTCCGGTGTTTCTCCCCTAGGCCTTTCTATCTTTGTTGATTCTAGGGGCAGACCTGGAAGAGGATCTAGTCTCGCAAAGTATCGCTTCCCATCTCTCACAGAGGATGAGGCAAGCAGGCTGCCAACCTTGCGACGCGTGACGTCTCTCTATATCCACGCGGCTCACCGGGCGATGCATCCTCGGGCCGTGTTTATGCTCACCGCTGCTATGCCGTGCCTCGAGGAGCTGGCAATCCGCCACTACGACCCTCGTCGGCACGACAAGAACCGGGAAGCCCGGCTTGACCACAGGGCGGCCTTCGTAGCCGGTATTTCCAATCTAAGGGCACGCGGCAATCTCAGACGTCTGCAGATTGCGTATGAGGCGCAATCCCTTGCCACAAACCATGACTTCAGTGAACAATCCTTCGAAGATGAGCAAGGTGTGGACCCGCTTAGCGAGGAGATCCGTCTGTTGTCCCAAGGCCCTAAATTCGAGGAGTTGGAACTGGATCATGTTCCCATCTCTCTTGATCTGTTTTACAACACCCGAAAGGGCGACGTCGCTGCTACCACACAGACGGAGGAGGCCATCTGGGAGAGCCTGCGCAAGTTTGATATCATTCTCACGATGCGGGATGCGGGCGGCAGGTGGTACTTCACCGGTACGCGCCCCGACGATGAGGACGGTTGGGTATCCTCTGGGTCAGAGTATATAGAGGATAGCGACTTTGAGGGCTCCGAGCCGGAGACGAGGCCTCGGCAGCTAGTTGTGGACGAGGAGAACCCATACTCTGCCTGGCGGACGGAGCTCAACCCGGAGACCTTGAACCCCTTGTTTACGCATCTGTCGGCGGCGTTGGGGCGCATGCCCAAGCTGGCGTCGGCCTACATTCAAGCCGTGCCTCTACATGGAGAGGACATATATTTTCAGCTCAGTGAGGGTGACCGAAGCTCTGAGTTCGTATACGATCCTAACAGCATGTGGGTGCCGCCACCTGAGGCTATCAATATGCTGGAAGGTGCCGGGTGGAAGGCGAAGAATCACAGTTGAACTATAAGAGTCTCAAGCAAGTATATCCCTCGACTAAAGCGTTCTTAGGGAATGGGCACTAGGCAATCAGATGTACTAAGATGATATTTCAAGTTGTGAGTTTAACATGGCTGTAACTCCAGGGTGCCGAAATCTGTGCCCGCTACTCATTTTGGCTTGGATATTTTCTGTGGCAACTCTACTTGTCCAAGAAATCGAGGCACCTGGGAGGAATGAAAGTTCACGTCACTAAATGGGTCGTAGGGCCGATTCAATCCTGATGACAACCAATCATGTCTCTGGAATAATGTAATTGAATATACAGAAACAAGTTAATTGACATTGGAAAAACCCGTTGTTTAGGCGGTGGTAGGAGTAAGCCCGAAGGATACTGTGGAACGTGGTGCAACGTATTGTCCAGTATTTTGAGTATTACGTGTCTGGATAGTCATTCCACAGAACTAGCTTGAGCAGGTCATAACCAAAAGTATGTCACTCTGGACTTTCTCATTTGTTGTATTCTGGAATGTCCTCAGCTGCTATTCTTGGTGCATTGTGGCGCTTGTTCTTGAATTTTCGGGGGAACTTTTTTGTGGCTCTTATGGATGGATTCTAGAAAGACGTAAGCGGCTTGTCCCATCCCAGTGCATGGCTTTTGGCTTTTGGCTTCTCCGATTTGAGCGGTCTAGTGTGGCATTTAACCTCTAACTCTGGCTTTGGATAGGGCTGGTTTTGAACCGACAATCACCCCGAAGCTAGCGAAGATCACGGTTTGTTGGCTTGAGCTAGTTTCTAAGGGCCGTTTACCCGTTCTCGTGATCGTCTCAAGCCATAGATTGTTGTACTACGTTTTGTCTGTCTAATGTTCAGTCTCGTAACCTAGGAATTGCCAAGGGCTATTCAGAAAATTCGTCATCAGTCGTCGTCAGCAGTAGTCATCGTAGTGGGAATTCAGAACGAACACGGCTTGTCCTCGATTTCGATTTCACCGAGAATCTCCAGTGCTGGCGAGCAAGCATAAGTCCAGCTCATACTATTCTGGGTATCTTACAACAAGTATAAGAGGAATACCTTCCCCAGTCTCGGAACACACTTCTCAAACCATCAACAATAACAACAATCAACAACCAACAAATCAAATCAACAACACCAACCCTAGCACTAAGACTCCTCTACAAATCCTTGCCTCTCCTTTCAACATGAAGTTCCTCGCTACCGTCGTCCTCTTCGCTGCCACCTCCATGGCTACTGCCGCACCCGCCCCCGACGTCAACGACGAAGGAAGCAACGGCCAGTGCCAGAATGTTGGGCAGCGCTGCAACTACAGCATTCACCCGGCGCTCGCTTGTTGCCCCGGGCTCCAGTGCTACACCCCTCCCGGATCTCCTCCTGGTGCCTATGGATACGTAAGTCAAGACCGTCCAAGCTAGAGCTGCATATTGGTTTAGTGCTAACTTATTTTTTTGAAAGTGCCGCAAGAACTGAGATGCATGAGAATTGATTGGGATTTCTTTAAGAAGAATAGAGGCGAGGAAAACGAGAAAGAGAACAATCGCTCTAGTCCCTTGCTTCCCAATAAACGATTTTGGATAGAAGGACGCCTTGGGATAGGTTTTTGTGCCCTGTTTAGAAGAATTGGCTTTGGGGTTTTCCCTATCTCAATTTACAAATGTAGAGGCGAAGTTTTAGTTTGTTTAATTGACTTTTATTGGGTATTCAAAGTACCACTCTGCCAGTGAACTAATAAAAGAATTTGAATGTTGGAATATCTCAGAGGGGTCTTAATCTAAAAAAAAAAAACAATATTCAATTGAAAAACACAAGGGCGATGCTTCTAGGTCTGGTAAAAAACTTATATCTTATTGAAAAGAATTAGCGTAATGTGGATAGGAGGAAGCCGGATATCTATATCAAAAGATCTATCAGTCTTAGAGTGAACTTCATGTAATGCCTGAGCATGCTCGCACTGATATGTGCGTTCTGGTGATTTGTGACTTCTTTATCTTGTCTTGGAAGACCTTAGCGAGTTTATTTCACATGTGTTTAAGGAATATTGGCAATATGGCCCACCCACGGGACGTTGTTTGATCTGTCTATAGTGATGGGAGGAACTTCGCTTTTCTCATCCTTTCCCACGACCGCACGTAACCCTCGGCTGTATCGATCTGCTCGTCAAAACCGACAGAGCGTGAGGCCGAAAGATCATACTGCCTGTCAAAATCGAGATCTACCAACATGAAGTGAGTGTGGCCCCATCCCTGCTCGTCGACGAGCTTCTCATTCAACCTATGTCGCCGGGCAACCTCTCGCCATACGCCTTTGTTCTTCTCAATGAACTCTAGCATAGGCGTAGCATTGGCGTCCGGGCTGCCGCCGATCAGGCCGAAATGCTCACAAAGCTTCGGCCACACCTGGGCCCAGGTTACCGTCTTCCCGTCGGCGACGTTGAACACTCCACCATCGCCACACTTCTCGGGATGAAGGGCAGCAAATATCTCCATCCTGGACAAAACATCCTGGAAGGTGTCTGAGTGGGTGGAGTGATACCCATGTTCGTAGCCTGGGAAAGGGACTGTGGCTCCAGCACCCTTGACTTTCTCGTACAAGGTGAGATAGATTGCAATGCCTTGTGCCATGTTCATCGCGTTCGATCCTGGGGCAAATCCCACAATACCGTCTGGGCGGATTTCACTAAAAGTCCATTTTTTCCCACGTGACAAATCCTTGAGCAAGTCATACTGGGTGTAGTAGAAGATTTTGCTGGCCCACGGCTCTGGGATCCGAGGGCAATCCTCCCTTAGTGGTGGCTGAATCTTTACATCCTTCGGAAATTCAAGACCGTATCTGTCGGAGTGTTAGTATTGAAGGATGATATACGAGGACCTGAGCATCCTTACCCCTTGCCTCCTGTCTGCAGGATGAGCACTTTGAACTCCGGCACCACTTTTTCTACAGCTTCCACTGCAACCTTGAGCAGGTTGGTATTTGCCACCTTGAGAGATTCGTGATCCTGAGTTTGGATGTAAGCTGCAATCTTGTCAGATTTCGGCTGGTAGCGGAGGTCGTTTCCGGCTATCACTTACCTGTAAAGAATACATGCGTCACGGTAGTAATGTCTGGAACCTTCTCCTTGAGCGTGGTAGCCACTTCATTGGCGCTTTTTGTCAAGTTAATGCCATCTGCAATCTGGATGCGACCGTCTCTTGGAATCTGCAGCTGCTCAAGAGAGGTCGGCCGGTTTGTGGTGCCGGTGATACGGGCAAAGGCAGTCTCAGAGGGGTATGTTCGAGCTTGGTTGAGAAGCGACCAGCCAGAGATGCCGGAAGCGCCGAAGATCAAAGCATGTGCCATTTTTGGATAATCCACAGCCTTTGCAGTATAGCAGTGTGCGGTTATGTATTTCTTCTGTGCTGAGCAGAAAGTTGCCCTTTTATCGGGGGATACACAGCATCGATGCTGCAATATTCAGAGGAGGGTATTATCAATCCAGTACCAGTGTTTGAACAGCATGACGCCACTATCATCAAGAAGTGGATAGACGTGTTGAGGAAGAACTGGACATTCTCCGTTTAATTGTAGCAAGTCAGGGGCTGATTGGCTGAGACATCGGAAAGCAGAATCCGAGCCCGACTGGAGTAGCGACAGTGGCCACAGAACAGCCCTGCCTCCACTTTGTCTTCTTGAAAAATGGCCATCCTGTGGAGGGGCAGAGGGCCGAGAATCGAAAGGTGGAAATATCTAACCAAGGATATCCATTCACCAAAGGTGAAGCTGTGCTCAGTACAAAAGCGCGTATCACATAGCACCACTACATGGGTGGGATATAGGCAAGGAGGTTCGTTGAGGCCATCAAGATCGACACAGTGTAAGTAGATGAGGTTGCGTTGATATCAAGTATTATGAAAGTGAAAGCCGATAATTTGTTCTACGCTTTGAAGTAGAGGCTTTCTACCCAAGGAGGGACGTAAATATCATGTAGAACTCAAACTGATCTACAAGGCAGAAAGTAAAATGGACTTCTTAAGGCTGACTTCTACACTATTAGTACCATCTTCTGTTCAATTTTGAGAGCTGCCTATCGAAGCGTTGCGTTCAGATATGGGTTTGGAAGAGCTGCCAGATGTGCAGGTATTCCCACTCTGCTCAGCCCATAGATAGCCACTGTAGATGCCAACAATACAAATAGGGGAGCCAAGGTCTGCAGCCAGCGCCGGAAGCTGTTAACGAACCACATTCTGTCGCCGCCCTTTCGAACAAATACCTTGTGATCGGTAAAGAGGGTGGCAAACCAGAACTCGATGGCCATCCAAGGCCAAGACGCAGCATTGCGCCCAAACTCTCCGATATACCAGTTGGTGCATTTGCCGGAGAATACACTGTTACGGAGTTTCAAGTGAATTTCGTTGGTGGCGCGGTTCTCCACTGTCTCCTTGACCTCGACGACATTGGCCTTTCCATCGATAAGAGGCTTCACCAGTGCCCTCGCGGCGTAGTCTACCTGGACTTCGCACGCGTACAAGGCCGAGTTATTCGCGGGGAATGTGTTTGGGCCAAATCTGCTCTAGTTAGCTAAGAACAACCTGTCGCAGATCGTGGATCTTACAGGATGGCAAGGTTAGGAAAGTTGTGAACAAAGGTCCCGAGGTACGCCTGCGCTCCTCGGCACTCGTTCCATTGCTGTTGGAGGGTATTGCCATCGGCGCCGACGATTTCCATGGGCGTCAGAAACTGTGAGACTTTGAAGCTGGTGGCGAGAACAATGATATCATACTCATCTTCTCTGCCAGAGGAGCTGATGATCCCGGTCTCGGTGACCCTCTGAAGACCTTCAGGGATAAGCTCAATGTTGTCCCGGTGAAGGGCCTCGAGGTAGCCCGGGTCAGCAATCTTTCGCTTGCACCCAAGCTCAAAGTCGGGCGTGAGGATTGTGTGGTATTTCTCTGGCGCCTTCTGGCGGATATAGGCTCGAGCCACTTCCTCCTCTTTCAAGCGCTGCTGGACACCAGCCTCTGTCCCACGGTAAGCATACGACTGCTTGTCGATGGACCAGAAGATGTTCCAACGGCGCAGGCGCATGAGGAGAGGAACAGTACGGAACAACCACTTCTCGAAGCCGGTGAAGTGACGGTTGGGGCGCTCATGATACCATTGGGGGCTGCGGGCATACTGTTTGACGTACTCAGCCTTCTCAGATAATGCAGGAACGACTTGGACGGCGCTGCACCCGTTGCCAATGACAGCCTAGACAGTTACACCTATTAGTTGCACGTGAGATGTTCTCATTCGCGGGTGCACCTACCACCCTCTTCCCAGCATAGGACACGTCATGGCGGCATTGTGCGGTATGATAGATCGGACCCCTGAAATTCTCCATTCCTTCGAAGTGTACCTTGATGATCAATGTCAGACAAGGACCCAGGCTAATGAAGATGCCTGTGACATACCTCTCGCGGTACGGAGATTCCACCGACTGCTGATATGAACATTGTGGCAGTCCGTGTGAACTCTATGCCCGTCTTTAGATCCCTCAGGCGGACTTGCCACTGATTTTTGGAGGAGTCCCATTCCGAGCCGATGCATTCCACTCCGAGATTGATATGAGGGCGCAAGTTAAATTTATCCACCGTGTCTTCAATGTACTGCAGGATCTCTTCCTGCTCAGCTAGCTCCTTCGACCAATCTGGATTTAGATTAAAACTGAAGGAGTACAGAGTTGACTGAACATCACATCCACTGTGTCAATGTGTCAGCAAAGTCATGCTCAATCAAGATCACGGATGTGGTGTGTTGGTTGCTCCGAACGGTAGGGTGATGGAGAGATTGGAAAAGACAAAACTTGGGCCAGAAACCACATACCAGCCAGGATAAGAATTCGCTCGCCAAGTGCCCCCAACACCGTCCATCTTCTCATAAATGGTGAAGTCGTCGAACTGAAGCTCATGCTTTAGTTTGTGGGCCATGGCAACGCCAGATGGCCCAGCGCCAATGATGATTGCGGAGACTGGCATAACGTCTTGATCAATTTCCCGTAAGGATTTTAGGATACGCAAACAAAAAACTTGTAAAATTTACAATGAGTTACAAAAATGAGAGAATGCTCGCGGCGAGGAAGATTGTGAAAAACACTGGCAGGTCTATGTACAATACCAGAAAGCCATCGAATACTCCATATGACGATGTACGATTCCGATACTGGCCGCTACAACGGGAAATCGCGATTGAATAGAAATGAACGACTAGATGGGAAGCATAGTCCGCGAATCAAGGTTCGGAATATGCTTCCCGGCCCAACGCTTGCTCTGACAAAGCCGGTCTTGGAGACAGATCTCCACTGATCTGTTGATGCCAAGAACTAGTGATCGAGAAAATTCCGACTAAAGGCTATAAAGAATGAACGGAATTACTAGGGCGACAAAAACCGTGCGCACGTATTCGTAACCTATCAAGAAACAGAGGCGCCGATGTCAGGAATTATGCTAGCTCAGGAGCTGCACGCAGCGAAGGACCTCAGGCTGGTATGTTTTTACACCCTTTGCAAATATAGACAAACTTAGAAAGGAAAAAAAAAGAATGTAATTGAAGAGAGTACTGGAATCCGCTGACATACATTTACCCGCTTATTAGGTGACGAGGTCGATTGAATCTCCCGCAGAGGACGAGGTGCAGATTGCAATGAGAGCAACTACACTCTGTGGCTCTGAGTTACACTATTTCACCCATTTTGCCAATGGAGACTTTAAGATAAGAGAGCCTCTCTCTCCAGGTCACGAATGTTCTGGTGTGATTGTTGCTGTTGGCGCGGCTGCTGAGAAGAACCGTGACCTCAAAGTTGGCGATAGAGTTGCGGTAGAGGTTGGTGTGCCGTGCGGCGACTGTGATCGTTGCGCAGAGGGCACGTACAACGTCTGCGGAAAGCTCAGGTTTCGAAGTAGTGCGACGGCTTTCCCCCATTATCAAGGCACGCTGCAGCAGCGATTCAATCATCCGGCGCAGTGGGTTCACAAGTAAGTTGTCTGCTTTATAACGATATCAGTCGTGACGCTGGTAGCTAACCGAGCAGATTGCCCGAGAGCATATCGTTCGCGGAAGGTGCTCTTCTGGAGCCTTTGGCCGTTGCTATTCATGCTGTATGTAGAGCAGATGCGAAGAAGGGTGCCAGCTGCCTGGTCGTTGGAGCAGGTGCCGTGGGACTTCTCTGCGCGGCCGTTGCTAGGAGTTTCGGGTACCGACACATCGTGCGGGCCGATATTGTCCAACACAGGCTCGACTTTGCTCTCTCAAATGGCTTTGCCGACGCGGCTGTAAAAATTCCAGCTCGGAGGTCTCGTACCACTGAGGAAGGTCTGGCCTTTGCAAAAGAAGACGCAGAGACCTTGCGTCAGCAGAACGGCGACAAGACATTCGACAGGACATTTGAGTGTACAGGCGTTGAATCTTGTGTGAGAACCTCGATATATGTAAGTAACATCCGGTATTTGCAAGACAATGGTAAAAAAGCTCACTCGCTGCTGAAGGCCACTCGCAACGGGGGCAAGATACTTCTCGTCGGTATGGGAACACCGGCCCAGACGCTACCTATATCGGCCGCATCACTGCGCGAAGTTGACATTATCGGTGCTTGGCGTTATGCGAACTGCTATCCCCGAGGCATAGAATTGATGGAGCATGCAGGGCGGGACGGCATCCCGGATCTGAAGAAGCTCATCACGCATTCTTTCCAAGGCTTAGAGGAAGCTGGTGCTGCCTTTGACATGGCCGCAAAGACTTGCGATGAAGAGGGGAAATTAGTGATCAAGGTAGTACTAGAAAATGCCGAGTAGTAGAAGGGATGCACCTGCCATTGCCTCGTTAGACGAATTTACGTCTCATTGTGATGACCTCGGGCCTTCAGCTTCACGCAACGATCAGTGTTCTGAATGTTTTCGGTGGCCATCGGAATTTGCACAAGCACGATTCCTGGCTCGACGTCGGGTAATGGTTCACCCACTCACTGGATTCATCATCAAGTTCAATGTATTTTAATCAAGACATCCCGTAGCCGGAGCCGAAATAAATATTTTGACAGATGACATCAACAGTTAGGGAACCATGATGGAAGAAAGGGTCAGAAAAAGCAGATCATAGATCTATCTAATTGACTTTAACTTCAATTATTTGTAGTCTAGGTAGTTCATAATCTAGATTTGCATCCATCCAGACTGCCTTGCTCCCGCTCCCGCAAGAGCCCCGAGATAGTTCTTCACCTTCTCAACTATGCCCTTGGTGTCGAGACCAAATCTGTCGTCATTGCTCTTATTTGAGGCTGAGTATCCAAATCCAGTAATTCCAATGCTGGCGGTTGCGTATCTTGCCTAGACCGTGGCCACAAACTCCTCCACGCTGACGACGGGCTTGTCATCCGGTGGAAACACCGACGCCTTGTACTCGGCGCTCTGCTTTTCGAACATTTCCAGGCTCGGCGCACTGACCAAGCGCACAGAAATGCCCTCGCTGGCCAAAATATCGGCAGCAGCAACAGCAAAATGGAGATTTGATCCGCAGCTTGCCAGTGTGAGATGGAAGTCATTTGGCTCTCGGATCACGTATCCTCCGCGGGATACCTGTTTCCTATCTGTGTTCGGCACGTATCCCACCGGGTCTCGGGCCAGAGAAAGCATTGAAGGACTCCTGTAACTCTCAAGAGCATATATCCAGCAGCCAATAAGCTAAGCTCTTCGGCATCGCAAGGACGGAAGTATGTCAGTCCTGGCATGGCACGGAAGAGTGAATCCACCTCCACATCCACCAGCTGGTGGGTGGGTCCATTCTGCCCTCCCTCAAACTTCATGAGTAACTTTCATTCGACGAGCCGCTGTCCTCCGCACGAAGGTTCATAGAATTTTCCTCCGTATGACTACATCTTGGGCGGACCGGGAAAGACTATATTTTCAAGCTTTCGTATTCATTGCGTTAAGTTGTTGGGCCCTGGCAGCTTCATTGTTATTAAACTTTATTTTCTTTCTCTTCTGTATATTCTGGCTTTCGCGCTAGACGAAGAAAGTTTTCTTACGCTTGGCGGTAACCTTCTGCTTAGGGTATAAAGACACCCAAAGGGCGATTTCCAGGACCCAACCAGGAGTCCCCCTCTTTCCATCAGAAGTCCCCCTCTTTCCATCAGAAGTTTACTTCTTTCTATCCGAAGTCCACCTCTTTCCACCAGAAGTCCATCTCATTCTACCAGAAGCCCGCCTCTTTCCACCGAAGCTCAAAATCATGGGCCACAAACACAGCAAGCCATCCGAGAATCCAGGAGGTACCGGCAGCACCCGAGGTGAGCAAGCAGCAGGTCATAACATAGTGGCTCACACTTACATTTGATTTGATCAGCAACGAAGCCGAAATTCCATCCACCAGGGCAGCAGCCTCCAGCATATGATAACTGCGACAAGACGGCATGGTTGCCCCGAGAGAATGTTCTGCTGATCATCGAGAATATAAACATAATCATGAAAGAGGTAGTGGGTGAACTGGATAATGAACTCGACGGTTCTTCCGATGTGCTTGTGGCTTCAGGCCATATTCGCGAGAGCTGTACTGTGGCTGCAAGAACAGTTACCAAAACTATGCTCCCAAACATAACGCATAAATCTCTCGCTAGTGATTTATACGAATGCAGTACTAGACTTGAAGAACTGTCTCAGGCTCTTGTCAGGGATGTAGCAGTGGATAAAGAAGTGGCAGTCATCCTGATCTCTGCTAATGCGGTTACAAAGGCTGCCTATATGGCCAGGTCAACCAGTAAGGACTACCGTACAGGAACATGGGCTGCTGTTATAGGTATAACGATGCACAGGATCGGCGCGAGAATTGCTTCGAGAAAGTATAAAAGTCTAGCTCAAGATCTGGCCGTCTGAAAACGGTGTCTTGGGCCAGGTGTTTCTTGAGCATGTATTAAGGGATTACAGGGTTGAATACATAAACGTTCTGCCCCCATTTAGGGTTGGTCCGAGATTGAGATGAGCGTGAACCTACCTACCTAGGAATAAGAATCGAATGGCAGTGATGGTTATTTATCCGTAAAGGTCTATCTTTCCAGCATGACAGAGATGAGATCGTCGTGAAGCAAGAGCCACCTCCAGTACGAGCAGCGATGTCTGCCGATGTGATCGATTTGTGAGGCAAAAGAATAAGGATCTGCATAGCCAGGTGTATTTCTCATCTAATTGAGGGCGGTATAACCTGGCGTGTTTGGACGATCGGCCAGAGGAAATGATGAAGCTTGACTCCATTATGAGATGCGTGATCATCCAAGTGTAATGAAATACTCAAAACTGGTAAGCGAGCTTCTGTTTACATTATCAAATAGACGTATAAAATAGACGTTTTCAATTCCGAGAAGCAATATGGTTGTTGATTCCCAAGCTTATTGGACTTGTCACTCATATTTACGGCGAATTTAGACGCGAAGCACAAACTGCTGCCTGAACTTTTCCGATGTTAGCAGCAAGATTGCATGCGTTGAACAGCAAGAGCGACGATGTGCTTTCAAGGAGAGGTCAGCGATTCTTTCCCAAGATTAATGCCAGCATAGTAGAAGGAACCATGATCGTGTGTCAGGCGTCCGGGAGGACATGCCAGTTTTGACGCCCGCGCCTGACACGTCAATTGGTCATCACATGCTAACAAGGACCAATTCACGGGCTCCCTTATTTACAACAACTGCTGCACTTACTGGCAGTCGACAATTTGCCCAACTGCCCAACATGAGTTCAGATATCCTCCGGGTGGCACACTGGGTAGGACAAAGTAGGAGTTCGCATCTCAAATCTCCCTATAGGTAATTTGCACGTCATCCTGAACGGTGAACTCCTGATCTGATGAAAGATCCGGTACACTTAGAAACCCCAGGGGATGTCACGGGTGAGTAGAGTCTTAGTCTTTATATTTGATAGCCTTGAAAGATGGTTCTTGCATTATCCAAGTGGTTTCCTGCTTCCCATCTTAGAGTATCTCCGTGTTTATTGCATAAAGCCTGGCTTCTGGCACTCGTGCATGACCCAAGGAAGCATATTTGGATAGCTACGAAGGAACGGTCTGGTTCATGTCATGTTGGTTCACTCCTGCCCATTTCATGATCTCGGGGTGTAAACATGATTTCGTGGAATCTTCTCCTTATCCTCTTCTCTCTTCTTTTCCACAACATACACACACACACACACACGCACACACACACACACACACTCACTCACACACACACACACACACAACAACAGCAGCAGCAGCAGCAGCACCACCACCACCACCACCACCATCACCACCACCATCATCACCAGCATGACGCCTGTGGAGACGGCCGGGCTGGCCCTGGGGGGGGCCTCGCTCGGCGTGGGGCTGGTGAGCCTCGTGTGTTGGGGTGTCCACGCGTTTCGGGGTCGG